ATCCCTCCTCCACCCCAACTCCTCACTCTTAATCTATTCTCATCCTATACTAGGGATAGGGGAAGTTCTCTGGGTTCGGGCTATATTCTGGGCTCGGAGCCCTCCCCCATGACAGCACACCAAAATATGCTTACTATTTGCTCAATCAGATTAGATGTAAGGGTGAACTCGTGAAAAATCCTTCAACAGTTTCTTGTGGCTTTGGCTAATGGTTTTAGCATTGTTTCCTATTAGTAGACAGGAATGCTGGATCTTAGTGTGTCTGGAGTTGTATAAACTTACAGAATGTCTTTAATGTGGTGAGCTGACCTCAGTGTCACACAGCACACAGCATCTGCACATGAACGGGAAACTTTTACGACTGAATATGTTATCCAGCACTGCCGTCTCCTGCTAGAGGTTCCCTTGTGCTTCTCTGATAATAGAAAACAGCAGATCACAGGAGAGACATCCAAGCCTGTGACATACATAATTTTTTTCGTCTTTTCTTATGAACAATGGTAAGAATAAAGATAATAGACATTCTTTAGAAGTATTTGGTATACAAAATATCCTTAACTTTGTTTTAAAATGGCAGTTAAGAAGAATATTATTCTTAAGAATGTTTTGTGAATGTTCTGGCCCCTTATAGGTCTTGACCATTCCTTTTAGGGCTGGTTGACTACCTTGGCTAAGCTGGTAAGTGGTAACTACATTTAAGGTGATAAATGGTTTGGTTTTGCAGGGTTTTAGATGGTCCAAGCTGGTAATTAGCTGGAACTAACTGGAACAAGCATGTTTAGGTGGTTTTAGTCAACCACACTACCAGTTTATGGGACTGAGGTTGACCTGATAAATGATGATCGCGCTGGGTAGAGCTGATAAACTACTTTGACTAAACTAGTTTAGACCTCGCTGAGCTACTAGACCAGTTTGATCACTTTTTCCAGTCAGAATGGCTGATTTTAGGCTCAATGGTTGGGCAAAAGAGTGATATCTGTAACAGACATTTGCGGTGGGTAGATCCAAATTCTGAGGGTAAAAATACTCTAGCTTATTCTGATTTTAGATTTTTTTTGTTTGTATACCAGTACATATATTGTGATTATTCCATTTAGCTTCTCAACTGTGCATCTGATGTAGTCAAATAGGTTTATAAAGATGTTTTTGGAACAATTTCTTTCTCAGGTATTGAATGTAAATATATCTGGTGGGTCTGCTTGACCAGTTTGACACCCTTAAGCTGGTATGAATTTTTTTCTTCGCAGGTCTACTGGAGTTAGAGCAGAATAACAGTTCATGGGTTGCAGTATTTGCACAGTGAACATCTGTTTCTCATTGACTTTGTGCTGGGTCAGAGCTTTAGGGTACTATGAGCAGCATGATCCTGCATGCAGGATGAATATCTCACCCAGCCTTCTGCACGCTAGCTGCTCTAGAAAGACTGTTGATGCAGGTGCTTGTCAATGAGACAAGAAAAGCACATTCGCAGGCCAGGAGCATTCAAATCGCATGCAACATTGTCATCTTCTCTGCTGCTCAACT